TTTATTTCCCAGTAATACTGGAGGTAGTAATTAGAAGGTGTATTATTTCTGGCCAACCATAGTGGATACAACTACAGCAAAAAGGTTAATGGCTAGGCTAGAGACGCTATAGCAATTAGCTTTTAGAGCAGGGAGCAACAGGCCATGCACTTCAAGTGAAAGTTTTCAATAAAGGCTATCCTCTACTTGTGTTCATACACTCCCCCAAATTAAGTCAATAAGCCATCACATTCGTACGTGTCACTTGGAGGGACTGCAGCCTTGAGCAGAGCTTTCAAGGGTAAGGCAAACAAGAGTTTGGGAGGGAACTTCAAGAGGGAAGGAGCCCCTGGAGCCCAAGCTCCTTTCTTCCTCTGTCACCTTCTTTGCTCCCGCTCACTCAGCTTCCTCCAGCTGGGGTCCCCCTACTGCTGTTTGCTCCCTCCACTCCTTAGGCCTGGGCATCAGGTCAGCGATTACAAGCAGGTCTACCCACATGACCTGTGCGGGCTCCAGGCAAGAGTACAAAGGAGGACACCCTACCATATGTCTATATACTTAAAAGCCATAAATCAAGCTAACAGACTGTTAAATAAAATATGTTCTGCCTCCCTACCTTTATCATAAAATTTAAAAAAATTTAATGTATAAAGGTATATTTTAATGAGCATAGGCAAATTACCAAGTTCAAGAAATGTAATTATTATTGTGTGCATCTGCTTAGCCTGGTGACAGGCTGGAGATGTTTGGATAAGTAATAAAATAAAAACTTGGCACAATTTACAAGTGATATGTTTACTCCATAAACTTTATTTTCTTCTCTTCATTTTAGCAAAATCACTTAATTTTGTTATTATAATCATGATTTTCATATAATCAGTGTTCTATTAACAACAACGTTAAATTACATAACTTTCCTGAATTGTTATAGCTCTTGGAATGTTTGAACTTAATTTTAATTCAGAGAAACTCTGTTCTCCTAAGGCAGTAGCAACTGAAATGTTGAGCCATTTTTTAAAGCAATACTTATTTTAGAAAATGAAGGATTGGAGTTTCTGGTCTGGCATGTAAATAACTGAGAAGCTATCACTCCATCTGAACAAGTGAAAAGCTGAATAAACTGAAGATCAATAACTTTTCTTAGATCTCTCAGAGAATTGAGATCATAAGGCCACTGCTGTTCCTCAAATTGGAGAGACAGACACAGAGAATCACAACCTATCAGAGCAGAAACCTTCCAGGGGAACGAGTAGGGGATAGGAAAACTTGAATTCTAATTGATGATTTGCTGGAGACTCAGTGTAGACATGTCTGAGCGTTAAAAACCCCACGGGGACCCAGTCTTCAGGGAACCCCCAAACTTGTGGGTTTGTGCATCTGCAACCCCCGAAGCTCTACCAGGTTCTGACAGTGACTAGTGGAGAAAAGTCCCCTCATGTTTCTGGCAGGGGAAGGAGCAAAGAAACCATATTAAAATATGCCTGAGCATTCTGTTCTTCTTAATAAGGGCTGACTTCCAGGGAAATTATTTTGTCAAAGCCTAACCTATTGGGATTTTATCAGAGCCTGAGTTGGGGGAAGAAAAATACCGGACCCCTCTCAGCCCACTCCGGCGATATTGTCCCATCTGAGAAGAGTATAAACTGATAAACACTTGTAAAGTTCACAAGCTTCCTAAAAGACAGACCTGATCATAGGTCTATAGAATGCTCCCCCACCCCCCCATTCCCCCCCTACCCCCCCTACCCCCCCCACTTTATTTTTTTTTAAGATTTTATTTATTTATTTGACAGAGCAGGAGAGAGAGCTAGAGAGGGAACACAAGCAGGGGGAGCAGCAGAGGGAGAGGAGAAACAGACTCCCCACTGAGCAGGGAGCCCAACGCAGGACTCGATCCCAGGACCCTGGGATCATGACCTGAGCCGAAGGCAGATGCTTAACTGACTGAGCCACCCAGGCACCACCCCCCAGCCCTATGTTAATACCACATCACTAAAGCCTCATTTACTGCAGTTCTTTTTCCTACTACATCATGTCTGGCTTTCAACAAAAAGTTACAGGGCATACTTACAATGCAAAAAGACTCAATCTGAAGAAATAGAGCACGCCCCAGAACTAGACTCAGATATACAGAAATGTTGGAATTATCAGACCAGGCATTTAAAATAACTATGATTAATATGCTAAGGGATCTAAAGGAAAAAGTAGACAGCATGTAAAAACAGATGGGTAATATAAGCAGATACATGCATACCTCAGAGGTACTATGGTTTGGTTCCAGACCACTGCAATAAAGCAAATATTGCAATAAAGCAAGTCAAATGAATGTTTTGGTTTCCTGGTGCATATAACAGTTATGTTTACACTATGCTGTAGTCTAGTAAGTGTGCAATAGCATTATGTCTAAAGAAACAATGTATGTACCTTAATTAAAAAATGCTGACCATGGTCTGAACTTTGAGTCATAATCACTGATCACAGATCACCATAACAGATATAATAGTAGTGAAAAAGTTTGACATAATTTGAGAATTACCAAAATCTGGCACAGAGACATGAAGTGAGCAAATGCTGTCACAAAAATGGTACCAGTAGACATGTTCAACACAGGGACAGGTGCTGGGGTGTGGGGCGAGTCACCCTGCCCAGTGCTGGAAGCCTGGGCGGGGCGTGTGTGTTGGAGGGTGCAGTTACTTGTGATTCAGGGCCCACAGTCTTCCTCCCCCAGACATTCTGTCACCCTCCTGGTCCAGCTTTGTTCATTAGGAACAGGATAGAGAGTCCAGAAATACACCCATATAGACTTGACAAAGGAGTGAAGACAATACACGGAGCAAAGAGAATCTTTTCAACCAATAGTGCTGGAACAACTGGACATTCACATGAGAAACAATGAATCTGGTCACAAATCTTACACAAAATCTTCACAAAAATTAACTCAAAACGGATCATAGACCTAAATATAAAACACAGAACTATAAAACTCCTAGAAGATAACATAGGAGAAAGTCTGGAATTCGTTAGGTTTGTTGATGACTTTTTCTGTACAACACCAAAGGCATGATCCATGAAAGAAATAATTGGTGAGCTGGACTTCATTAAAATTAAACACTTCTGCTCTGCGAAAGACAGTGTCAAGAGAATTAGAAGATAAGCCACAGACTGGGAGAAAATATTTGCAAAAGATATATCTGATAAAGGATTGTTCTCCAAAATATACAAAGGACTCTTAAAACCCAACCAGAAGAAAGCAAACAACCCATTAAAAAACAGGCCAAAGACCTTAACAGAAACCTCATCAAAGAAGATACACAGTGGGTGGCTCAGTCTCTTAAGCGTCTGCCTTCGGCTCAGGTCATGATCCCAGGGTCCTGGGATCGAGTCCTGCATCGGGCTCCCTGCTCAGCAGGGAGTCCGGTTCTGCCCCTGCTTGTCCTCTCTCTTGCTGTGTCTCTCTCTGTCGAATAAATAAATAAAATCTTTAAAAAAACAAAAAGAAGAAGATACACAGACTGTAAATAGTGCATGAAAAGATGTTCACATCATATGTCATCAGAGAAGTGCAAGTTTAAACAACAATGGGATTCCACTCTGCTCCTATTAGAATAGCCAAAATCTGGAACACTGACAACACCAAATGCTGTTGAGGATGTGGAGCAAGAGGAACTCTCAAACTTTGCTAGTGGTAAGGCAAAATGGTACAGCCAATTTGGAAGACAGTTTGGCTGTTTCTTATATAACGAAACATGCTCTTACCTTATGATCCAGAAATTGGGCTCCTTAGTATTTGCCCCAAAGAGTTGAAAATCTAACATCAATACAAAACCTGCACACGGATGTTTATAGCAGTTTTAGTCACAATTGCCAAAACCAAGACCTCCTTCCAGAGGTGAATAGATAAATAAATGATGGTACATCCAGACAATGGAATTTTATTCAGCACTAATAAGAAATGAGCTGTCCAGCCATGAGAAGACGCTGAAGAATATTACTAAGTGAAAAGAGGCCAATCTGAAAAGGCTACATATACAATTCCAACTATATGACATTCTAGAAAAGACAAAACCATGGAGAGAGGAAAAAGATCCCTGGTCGTTGGGTCTTAGGAAGAAAGGAGGGATGAATAATAGGTGAAACATCTGAGATATTGTGTGACATGGTTGGTACTAAAAACCAGGTTGACTTCTAAAGTAGTCCAACTTTTGGGTGGCCTGGGTGGCTCAGTCGGTTAAACGTCTGCCTCACGCTCAGGTCATGATCCCAGGGTCCTGGGACCAAGTCCCCCACGGGCTCCCTGCCCAGTGGGGAGCCTGCTTCTCCCTCTGCGCCGCTCCCCCTGCTTGCACTCTCGCTCTCTCTGACAGATACATAAATAAAAAATCTTAAAAAAAAAAAGTAGTTCAACTTTCTATTAGGCTTTTGCCTCAATAAAACTGTGGGACCTGCCAGGGCTGGAATCCCATTGCCACCTGCCCTCAGGTTGGTGGCCGGACTCCCGGAATTAACAAAAGGGATTTTTTTTTTTTAGGATAGTTACCGAGGAAGTTACCCACTTTCCAACTAAGGACACTTGGACGATTGACTTTACAGAGCAAGTCTGCCCCCTTTTCAGAACTCTTGTGCGTCCTGAGATACGAAACGCAGTGGGTTCTCTTAAAGGAAGTTTTGTTTAGGGGATGACCAAGAGCTTCAAGAAAACCCTTCTAGGCCGAACCCCTCTGGACCGGGATAGCGAGCCGCGCGGCCCAGTCGTGTGCTGCGGGTACCAGAACAGACGGCAAGGTGGAGGGGACCTGCCGGCCGCACAGCGGGACCCGCAGCCCGACCCCGGTCACTGGGGCGCCGCCCGGGCCGCAGCGCAGGCGGGGCCGGGCGGAGGGCCAGGTCCGCCGCCGTCGCCGCCGCCGCGAGCCCAGACCTGCCCGCCCGACCTGGCGGCGCAGTCTCGCGGGATCGCTCGGCCCTCGCTCCCCGGGCCGCTCGGGAGGCAGCTGGAGTGCCGGACGCTTCCCGGAGCCGCCGTCTCAGGTCGCGGTGGGCGGACGGCCGACTGGACGAGGACTGGAGGGAGGTGAGGCTCCTCGGGCCGGCTGCGCGCGCGGCCGCGGCCCGGCGGGTCCCGGGGCGAGCGGGCGGGCCTCGCGGGCGCGCGGCGGGCCGGGAGCCACAGGTGTGCGCCCGGCGGCGGCGGCACAGGCCGCGCAGGCCAGGGTTTCCGCAGAAGTTGGGGCCAGCTCCCGAAGGACGAGGCCGGGGCCCCCCGCCGCCCAGCCGGGCCGGGACGCTCCTGCCCGGCTGTAGGCCCCGGGGCAGGTGCGGGGGTGTGGGGCGAGTTACCGTGCCAGGTGCTGGAAGCCTGGCACCGGGCGGGGGCGGGGGTGTTGGGGTGCGGGGTGCGGTTCGTCGCGACTCAGGGCCCACAGCCTTTCGTCCCCCAGACGTCCGTCACCCTCCCGGTCCCGCTTTGTTCCTTTTCCCTTTCGGTGGGGTCACTCCTCGCCCCAGCCCGTGAGAGCTAATTTCGCTCCTCCGGGAGGAATCCTAGACGTCTCCCCCTAGTTGGCCCTTTGAAAAGCAGGAAAGTCTCTCTCCCAGAGACTGCCACAGAAACTGGCTCTTTGGAGCCCTTAAAGAGTTGAGGAACTCATTAGGTCTTAAGGAATTTCCCTGGGACTCAAGTTTTCTCGTGCGTAATCAGATATCCAACAGGGGCCCTCAGATTTTACAATTCTATTAATGCTTTTTAACTTATTCCCAAACCCAGTATGACTTTTTTTTTTCCCTCCACAGCACTCATCCTCTGCCCCCTTTTACCATCTGTTTCAGACAGCACAAACGTTCTATCATCAGTTCCCTAGAGATGAGCCTTCCTCAGCAAATTCTGTATTCTGTGCCAAAGCAGGTGGAAGAGTATCTCGAAAGGACGGAATTTTCCGTCCTTTTTCCAGTGTTAGTTACCCAGGGTGAAAATCTTAACTCTGCACTTTGATGTCCGCGTTTGAGTTTATGACAAATGTTGCAGATGCCCTCTCTTGGTTGTTTTTACAGTAATTGACCCAGAACTCATTTCAGGAAAAGAGCTTCCTTCAAAATGGCAAAATAATGAAAGAGGAATTTGAACATTTTATTTTTGGATGGAAATCTGAGGATGAAAATTCGAGCGATTAATCCCAGCCATGTGGTAGAACCAGGAATTTGAAGAAAATGGAAATGTTGACATTTTTGTGGACATGTGTTTTTCTCCCCTTCATAAGAGGGCACAGTCTTTTCACCTGTGAACCAATTACTGTTCCCAGATGTATGAAAATGGCCTACAACATGACATTTTTCCCTAATTTGATGAGGCATTATGACCAGAGTACAGCTGCTGTGAAAATGGAGGTGAGTATTTCTTCACACATTTATAGAGAAATAGTTTATGTTCTGCTCTGGAATAAACTATAAATGTGACTTTTTTTTTTTTTTAAACACAGTAAGGGATTCCTTTAAGTTGTGCACAACTTCATATTTTGAATACATCCTTTTGAAAATTAATTTCCCCTATTAGGTTTTGTGTGGTTTTGTGGCCCTTGTTAGTGGATTTGCTTAAGGTAGGGTTCATTTTATATGAGACATAGTGATGATTTTGAAATATCTTGCAGCTAGCAAATATTTTGCTTCCCTGAATCAATTATGGTAGTTCCTCTGGAAATGTGAATTCTGAATTTTTCCTAATTCATTGAACATATATCCTACATTGCTTGGACTAAAAGTGCTTGAACTATATCCCTATATTTTCATAAGTAGTTATAATGTTCACCTGGCACAGGTTTTCTGAAATAAATCCATTACTGGAAGATTTGGGGGCTGTAGTGTTTCGCTAAAAAGTGACTTTTTTTTAAGCGTGGCACTTAAGTACTGTTTGTAAGATACCTGTTAAAAGAAACCACATGTCTGGGGAGGAGCAGAGTGACACTAAAGATTGCCTTAGGTACCTCAGTTACCTGCCTCCGGTTTAGAGAGATGCAGATTGCTAGGGATGTGTGGGAAGAGTTACCTGTAGAGACGGGAGCCTGCCCTCCTGTACAGATCTGTTAGGTTGATAAGTCTGACTCATGAAGGAAAGAAGACAAAAATTTTTGTAGTTTTTCTCCAGAAGAAATGTCCAGGGGTGGTAAAGGCTTTTCCCCCTCAGAATGTTGCTAAGAGATGAAACTCCTACAATTTTAATGTAGACACTAATTTAAAAAGTGATTAGATTTGATTTTGTGCATTCAAAAGTCTTCCACTGTTGTTTAGTTGAGTAGTTTTTCGACTACCTCATTTGTAGATTCGGGTCTAAAATAGCAGAACTTTGGGAGGGATGGGTTGGCTGGGCGATGGACTTTTTTTTTTTAAAGATTTTATTTATTTGAGAGAGAGAGAGAGCACAAGAGGGGGGAGGCTCAGAGCGAGAAGCAGACTCCCCGCTGAGCAGGGATCCTGTTGCGGGACTCGATCCAGGGACCCCAGGATCATGACCTGAGCCGAAGGCAGTTGCTTAACCAACTGAGCCACCCAGGCGCCCCATGCAAATTTCATTTCAAAAAATTTCTATAAAAATTAAACTGGGAATTTTGGTACTTTTCTTTTTTTAATCTCTATTCAGACTTACCTCTCTTTCTCTTTCTCATCTGTGCCATGAATACCAAGTCTCCTCTCAACAGTTTTTACGTGGCTCTCAACAGTTTTCACCAGTTGCTCCTCTCTGGTGATGTCAAAGTGATTTTATTTAAAACGAAAACCCAGGGGCGCCTGGGTAGCTCACATGGTTGAGGGTCTGCCTTCGGCTCAGGTCATGATCCTGGGGTCCAGGGATCGAGCCCCGCATCGGGCTCCCTGCTCAGCGGGGAGCCTGCTTCTCCCTCTCCTTCTCCTGCTCCCCCTGCTTGTGCTTTCTCTCTCGCTCTCTCTGTCAAATAAATAAGTAAAGTCTTAAAAAAAAAATCCACACAGTCCACTTTGGGGGTAACATTCTTCACCATTTCCCTAGAGCTAGAAGAATAGACCTGACTCTAGAGTGGCACCCCAGGCTCTTCAAATGGGGGATCTCGCCTTCCTGTCCAGCTTCCCCACTTGTCCCTTTAGACGTTACACACTCTGCTTCAGACAAACCGACCTCTTTGTAGAACTCACACCCATATTACTCTCAGTTCTGTACCTTTGTACACATTGTATGCATTGCTTCCCAGGCTTTCTGCCTACCATTCACCTGCTCCGTTTCTGCAGGTCTCAGTTAAAGCAGTAACTGTGCTCAGTGAGGCTTTCTTTCACCTTTCCCCCAAGCATATGTGATCTCACTTTCTATACTCTGATAGTACTAAAAATATACAATGGTTCTTACACTTATTATGCTGTATTGCAGTTATTTATGTGGTTCTCATTAGATTGCAAGTGTGTTGAGAGTAAGGATGGTGTTTATTCATTTTTTTCCCAATGCCTAGTACAATGCCTCAGAGCACTGTCGATGCACAGTAAAAGCTAAATAAAGAAAAGGTGGTGTTTCCTGTTCTAATAAATCAGCAAAGAGAATTTTACCTCCAAAGCTTTACTTTCCCCCCTCTATCGTCTGCAGTATTCAAGTGGAAGAAACTCTGATATTTTTAGGTGGTTTGCATATCACCCACTTTGGATCTACCTGAGCCTAGTTCTTATGAAGCGTATTAGTTGACATCCTCTATATTCTTTCCCATATTTGCATGATACATGTTTCTTAGAACTTTTTTAAAGAATCTTATTTTGGGGGCACCTGGGTGGCTCATTCTATTAAGCATCCAACTCTTGGTTTCAGCTCAGGTCATGATCTCAGGGTCCTAGAATCTAGCACCACGCAGGGCTCCCTGCTCAGCAGGGAGTCTACTTGTGTCCCTCTCTCTCTCTGACCCTCCTCCTGCTCACATGTGCTCTCTCTCTTTCTCAAAAAAAAAAAAAATCTTTAAAAAAAAAGATTTTTGGGGCGCCTGGGTGGCTCAGTCGTTAAGCATCTGCCTTTGGCTCAGGTCGTGATCCCAGCGTCCTGGGATTGAGCACCCGCACTGGGCTCCCTGCTCAGCGGGGAGTCTGCTTCTCCCTCTCCCACTCCCCCTGCTTGTGTTCCCTCTCTCGCTGTGTCTCTTTCTGTCAAATAAATAAATAAAATCTTTAAAAAATATATTTTTCTCTTTAACCATTTATATTTACATGGAGTGAAAGAATTCACCTTTTGATTGGCTCATTGTATTATAAACCACATGTCTCAGTTTTTTTTCAAACATTGTACTATAGTCTAGTCAAATACTAAATCATAACTGCACATAGCCTGGCTTTTACAAAAACAACAAAAAAAAGTGCTTTATAACTTCTCTAAAGAACAGATTGTATTTTACACTTCCAACCCGCTGCCTTCCGCTCCTGCTGGTCCCTGTTGTGTTCACTATGAATTAATATTAGGATGAGGGGCTGAAGAATTATCAGCTGATTACAGCAATCAGTTGTGCTTTCTTGGCTACCAAGAATTCCATATGTCAACAGATCTATCTCCTCTTCTACACCTTAGTTTTCATTTTGTATGAGGGCTATCCTGTTTTATAGTCCTAGAATTTATAGCATCTGTTTTCCTTGCTCATCTGTGATTACAGGAGGTGGTTTAGAACAGTGGTTCTCAAAGTCCAGTTCATAGACCAGCAGCTTGTGAGCTTGTCAGAAATGCACGTTCATGGACCACCCCCCCGCCCCGCCATCCCAACCTAATGAATCATCTGTCAAGCTAGAGCCCAGGAGGCTGTGTTTTAACAAGCTAAGTGCAAATTTTGTGTAAAGGACCAAATAATAAATATTTTTGGCTTTGCAAACCAGACAGGTTCTGTCACAGCTATTCAACTCTGCAATTGTAGCAAAACAACCATAAACAATATGTAAACAAATGAGTGTGGATGTGTTTTCAGTAAAAGTTTATTTACAAAAACAGGCGGTGGGTCATTTTTTGGCCCACGGGCTGTAGTTTGCTGGACGTGGTTTAAGGTATTTGAATGTGTTCTTAAGGATTATACACACAGAGTATGTAATAAGTAAACATTATTGTTCATTCTTGTTAATATGTTACCTGAGCTATGTGTTATTTACTTTCCACATAAATTTTTCTAAGGCCAAATTTATCACAGACCACTGACTGGGATATTCTGGCTCTTCGGTTTTGTTTCAGAGATTGCTTGAAATGAGGGACTTTAGTTTTTTATTTATTTGAAGCTGAAGTAATTTGTATTTCAAAGAGTTAATTTACAATTCTGAATAACAACTTGGCTTGGGAATGAAAAGGATGTTGTACAGCCTAACTCTCCCAAGTAGAAAAACAAATGGCTGCTGGTTTTCCATTGTGTTCCTTTTTGTTTCGTATCTAGAGCATTGTTTCCCAAATTGTGAGGTTGATGTCCCTTGAGAGACTGATTTCATCCAGAAAGAGCTGAGACTGATCTAGGGAAAATGGAAACAGGAATATTGTATTTTTCTTTTTGAATTGCCTTCGTGGAGGTCTAGGCAAAAGCAAAGTCATGTATTGTGTTTGGAACAGCATGTGGTCCTTCCACTTTTGAACAGTCTAAAGGGAAGTAAGACAAAAAAAACCCTTTCCTTTCTACCTGTTAATATGCACCACTAAAATGTGTCTCTATCCAATTAAAAACAGGAATGGAGAAAAACTGTATATACAAACTTCTGAGGAAAAAAACCTATTTCTGCTAGGCAGTGATTTTTAAATATTTTCACTTTCCTGCTTTTAGAAGAGTCTAGTGGACCCCTTCATTTCCTCTTTATTCTCTACTCTTATATCTCCATATAGAAGGAAAGAAAATATTTAGTGTGACTAACTTTTGTTTTTCAGGAAAGACTTTCTGAATATAGCTGTAACTATTCTGAAAGTAAGTTGTTGAGTCTTTCAAAATGAAACAGATACTGAAATGTGTTCCAAGTCAGTGTGTGTATAGTGGCTGCCTTTGTATTTTTAAATGTAGAACTCACAAACTTAACTTCCTTTGTGATACTGTGTTATAGTAGTGATGTAGGAAAGTTGTTAGGGTTCAGAGCCAAGAAAGAATTCTTGAGCCGTCTTGGATGGTAAAAGGTTGTTTTGTTAAAGCATGGGGGCAGGAGTGTAGAAAGAGCTGCACTGGGGTCCTGAGGAATGGCCCATTTTACACTTTCAGGTTGGGAGGGGGTTAGAGATACCTAAGCCTCCCAGGTATTTTGGAAACAAGGATCCTGAGGGGGGCTAGCTATTGTTAGGAAAAGGTCATTTATTACTGTTTGGTAAAAACTCAGTCATGAGACTCTTCAGATATATTTCAGCAGGTCATATGCTTGGAGGATGATTGCCAACATGTATGTGGCGG